GGTTACAACGATAACTCTTTTCCACCTGATCATTCCATACGATACCTCACGGACTACCGCTTTAGTCTACCTCGCCTTAGTACGGACCGAGCCTAGAGAAGTATAGCCTAACCCCGTGTAACACCTAGCGGCAACGCTAACCTCTACAGCTAAACAATAGCTGTTAATCTTATATTTCTTACTAGCTTAAAGTCTTAAAAGCGTTAAAAGCGTGCAAGCTAGCTAGAGGAGTACTTTAACGACCTCCGTAAGGACCTTACAAACGCTAGCGAACAACAACTCGCTCTCCTCTACAATCCTTAGCGCTAGTGGCTTGAAATCGGACGCTAGAAGTACCTAGTAGTCTTTAAGATTGCTACTAACTACCTCTCTACCCCCGCTACTAGTTGCGAGTGTGAGCGTATCTTCTCAACCGCTAAACAGACAGTTACAAGCAATCGAAACCGCCTTAGCGCAGCTACGATAGAGGCTCTACAACTTTAGAAGAACTAGTTACGTTACGGCGTCGTTAAAAGCGAAGTTTTGAAGCTACAACAACACGTACAACGCTGGGATAGCAAGCAAGGCAGCGGCAACAGCGGGGTCGCTGGCAGCAGCAGCAATATAGCCAGCAACAACAGCTGCCTGGGCGACGACGCTGGCTGAAAGCTCTATCCTCAACACCACGATACCGATCGTGGGTTTCGAGAAACCGCACAACAGTCCACAACCCTACCACCGGCTCGATCGGTGGTGGGTTGTACAGCTGCCTGGGCGACGACGTTGGCCGAAAAATCTATCCTCAACACCACGATACAGCTCCCCGAGCGCCTACAGCAGCTTCAATTTACAAAACAAGCTTAGCAGTTTCCTAATTAGGCAATTGTACGGTCCGTATGTGGTCTAAGCGAACGTACTACGGCTACGGCTCGTACTTAGAGCTTTTTTTGGACATACAGTACGTACAACACCAGAAATCGACCCGTACGTACCTCACGATAGCTTCAACCGTACAGTATTACGTCCCGTTGGAAACGCTGTTAGGCGCCACGATCGCCAAACAACCCACCTCTTCTCTCCTGCGCAATCGCACATCACGTACAAGGTATTGAGGCCAGCTCGTTGTTCAAACACCGATTTCGTTTTGCTAAACAAGGAAAAATGACTAACTGATGGCCTTGAGCAGGCCGATCGCCCACATCCACGACGAGTGACCAGACTAGCTTAGTAATTCTAGATCCGGTCAAATTGCAATGTGAACTTCTCCCAACCTATAGAGCACCGCTGCGAAGCACAATCTTTCGCGACTACGCTTCCTATATCGAGCCCCTCACCGAAGGGGCTAAAAGAAATTTGAGTCCAAAGAATAGTCGATGCGCGTCTCATCCCTTTCGCCATCACCTCTAGTGACTGGACGTAGCCTATGCAGCCCTGAATGAGTCAATTCAAGAAATGTGAATCCATGCAGCAAGCTTACTCAGAACTTACCTCTCCTTCGAGAAACACTTTTAAGATCCGCAACTGCCTGATGACGACTGATAATCGGCAGGCGATCCTTGACCTCGGACGGCGGGTAACGTAGACAAGCAGTTCATCCACTGCTTGCTGGACGAGCGAAGCCTTCTCAGAGACATATGCCCAGTCGATTGTAGTCCAATCTTCCTGATTAGCGCCGACTGCAGACTGGATATATTCTTGAAATGTCTTTATGCGCCTCAACACGTCGAATCAAGACGAGATGGCGCCGCGAGCGCACGCCTGAGGCTACCGGGATGAGGAAGAAAGGTAATTCATCGTTGACGATGGATCGAGCCATTCTATCATGACCAGAGAGAGAGGCACGCTCGCCCGTTTTGTGTTAAAGATTGTTTGTGGAATGGCCTTTGCTACAGAGCACGAGAATCATGTCGCTCGTGGATCCGCCACGCCCACACCACTACTGCGTATTCTTAGCTGACTCATCGACCATCGAAGGCTATCGAAAAGCTTTCATTTGCTAGAAAGTGGTCATGTTTCGTGAATGAGACAATTCAATTAGCGACACGCGCATGTGACACTAAGCAAGAATCTCGATAGTCAATGGTATACACTTGATACCTCGCCTGCTTTCAACTCCATACTACAGGTAGAACTCTTTCAAACTTCATTGTGATGCAGTTGCAACTCCAGGAACGAGTGGCGTCTGATTCCTGTCGTCGTAGAATGCGAGTTGCACGAAGATACAACCACATACACATCGTGACAGCATCTGCTACAGGGGTTACTATTCCTATTCTTAATTGCCGTTAGAAGATTTCGTATTCTGCCAGTACGTTCCTGTAGTCGCCTTCCCAGTCCTCAAATATATTGTTGACATTCCATCTGTCTTGATCACCTATGTTTCCATCTTTAGTTATCTCAGCAGTCTATCCGCCACTGATCAATGACCCGTGCTTGATGTGTATTTCCAACCACGTTCCATCACGAGAGCAGCGTATCGAGCGCTTGCAGCGATTCCACATGCTCTCAGCTTTCTCAAGACGCTCAAGTGTGACACGCTGTTGGATGTTAGTGCAGCCAGTCTGGTCGATGTTTTGGATTGTCTTGAGACATACACCAGCAGTCTTATCTCGACGCCTCTGAACAGCTTCAGCCTTTTCCTTAGCTGCGTCTTCCGCCTGGAACCTCTCTAGTACTCAGAGATGGCGCTTCTGCCATGGCGCCCGCCATTTGATGTGACGCCAATGCATGCTGTACGCCGCAGCAAGGGCGCCAGGTCCGTGAGTGTTCTTGGTGTTTTACTTTGGAGAATAATGTGAGTGTATTGGATTCGTCAGTGGGTAGAGGAACCAGTACATGGATTACACTATGGCGAGGTTGGCTCGCACGCGTATGCATACCCTCGTTAGTTGATAATGAAAATAGAGAAACAACCGAGATTTCCTAGAGACTGGCGGTGAATGTGAGTTCCTGCTTGACACTATGGCTGATTTGGGTCGTTGGGTTCTTTCACTAACAGTGGCGAATCAGAAACAGTGCTCTTTCTCAAGCGAATGTAAGGTAGCTGGGAGCTTTCAGTGTTCGTTCGCTTCACCCACTACTCCTCCTAAGACATCTCATATTATACCCCAGATTTCTAGCGCAATTCTTCAATTTTCTCAATCGCGTTCAGCCAAAGAACATGAATATAACTCATCGCATTGACGAGGCTTCGTCATCTCCATCTTCGTCAACGGTTCCGCAGTGGGTGGAGCATTTCAAGTATACACGGTTTGTGGACCCTGATTTTGGCAACCGGCTCTCCGAAGCGCGTAACCTCATGCACACGCAAGCACCTCTTACCCCTGTTGTCACTTATCAAGAGCAAAGAACAGCAGCAGGCTCGATTGCGTCAGAAGTTGCACACTCAATGCGTCAGGCCGCGTTGATTCCGCCTGGCGCGCCAAAACATGGGTGGGAAAAGGGATCATACAGATCACCTTTTGACTATCGTATCGTCAGCTACTCAGGCGGAGACAAATGCACAGCCTCTGATAGACTACCCCCGTATGCTTCACCCGACGGTATGACTCCTTTCACTGGGTCAGGCAGCATGGCACTAGCTCACAATCGTGCGACTCGAGATACACCAGTGTTTGACGGGATGGATCCTAATTCTGAATGAGCTCCGCCTTGTCGTGCAGTTACGCCTGGATCTGATGTAAGCCTCAACCAATCTCTTTATTTCTCAAGCTGCGCAACTAATTGCCCTCAAGGCCAAGGAGCGTCATATCTTTCTCGGCCCTCTCCGGATAATCCGCGAAACAGGGTCTGCTCTCTGTCTAGATGACCGCGAAAGGCTCTTAACCTTTATTGATAGCTATATGGCGGAATCTCTGCACACGGTTGTAGAACACGATGGCATTCTTCCGAACGTTGTCTGTAAGTGGCCTGTATGACTTGCGTATGGAACGCCCATTGACTTCTCCCACCTACGTCTAGACACAATTGGTATCCCCATGACAGACGCCAACTGGGCCAAGTACAAACAACTCCTCGCTGTCTTCGGATTTGCCAGCGGCATGGATGCCATGCTTGCTGTCGGGTCTGACAAGTTCGACAACTATACCTATGTCGTCGATAGTACGAGTGCAGAGCATGTGGAGGGTTGGAAGGCTCTAGCGAGTGCGAGTGAGAGAGACCTTGATATGGCTATACTTCCACAAGAGCTAATACAGATCTGGAAAGGGATGTGTGTTGAAGGTGGGGCTGGCTATCCGGGTACCTCAAAGAATTTTGAGCAGTAGCGAGATGAAACGAAGGTCGCCATGCGCCCTATGAGGAGGAAAAGGTAGATATTCATTGGAATATATCATACCTGGCCCTAGTACAAGTATGTGTTAAGCGTTGCAATGTAGACATAAAGCATCTAGAAGCTTAGAGTTCATTCAGTCTCTATGGAGCTTTGTTTCAGAAGTTAATGTAGGCTTGATGGTGAGGTATACTGTCTCTATGCCCGCTTTATTCTTGTCTTATATGTGGTGATAACGTCAACGGATTGAAATTTCTGCATTAGCAAGCATATGTTGAGAAGTCTGGTGATCTCTCGATCGAGAAGAATAAAGTCAGGAGTCCACAAGTAACAGAGACATAGCCTACCAGGTGGCATTAACGAAGCTAGTATTGCCTGGTATATAGACCATCGAGCCTCTCAAGATCTCAGTGTGCCAATAATATACGAGAGATGTATGCAGTGGTTACTTGACTGGCGCCTTGAGCGATGACCTGAGTGGCGGAGATGAACGGTAAGAAGCCAGGAGCCGCGTCGAAGTGTCTTGTGGAGTTAAGGAAAGAAAAGGAAAAAGTAGACGCGCACAAACCGGATCAGCTGCAACATCAATACACTGTTCTCGCTTCTCCAAAAACGCAGGGCGTTTTGAGGTGTTGGAAGTGAGAAACGAAAAGAAGAGTTCATGTGTGACAGCACAAGGCGGAAGACTGTGAAGATCCAACGACCCACAAAAAGACTCAGCCACATGCCTGCGCCACACTTTTGCCATCTCTATTAGCGCGACGAACACCGTCATCCAGAAACCCTGTGCTTCTATCGCTCCGCGTCGCCCTTCTTTCCAACTTCCAAGATCCGGGCTTCTCTCCCCATATCGCTATCATGCTACGATGACGTTCGTTATTTCGCAAATCGCCAACACTGCCACACACGTACGCATTGCTGTCGCGCATCAGCCGATCCAGTCCAAACGCTTCGCGCACCGTCCTCCGCTATCTGTTACGCTATCGCACGTCGCCGCCTTCACGCTCCCCTCCACCTAAAACCGGCCCTCGTCCCCCCTTGCGCGGCCCCTCCGACTCACGCAAGAACATGTCGTGACCATGGACGACTCCACCATACTCAAGCACGCCCAGCGATTGCGCCGCTCACGTTACTCGGCACGACCCTTCGCCCTCACCATCCTCGCCATCTCCCTCATATCGCTGTTAGCATGGGCCAAGTCGCAAGCTGCAGACGGCAACGCCATAGTTGGCGCATTGCAGAAGAGGGACCTGTCCATCAAGGACGAGGAGTGTCGCCTCGTTCACCACGCCAGAGACCAATGCGCCTTTGTGCGCGCAAACTGCCCCGATGAAGAAGCCGGCGTCATATCCTACCTGACCCTCTATTACTGTCGCCTCCCGCATGCGAAGCCCTTTGCCTTCGTCCTCATGACGCTTTGGCTCGCCCTTCTCTTCAGCACCATTGGCATCGCCGCGAGCGACTTCTTCTGCGTCAACCTCAATACAATTGCGCGCATGCTGGGCATGAGCGAGAGCTTGGCTGGCGTGACACTGCTTGCCTTTGGCAATGGCAGTCCCGATGTCTTCTCTACCTTTGCCGCCTTCCGCACTCACGCTGCGAGTTTGGCTGTAGGCGAGCTTATCGGTGCTGCATGTTTCATCACGGCCGTTGTCTCGGGCTCCATGGCTCTGATTCGCCCATTCCAGGTCGCGCGCAAGAGCTTCGTTCGCGACGTCGGCTTCTTTCTCGTCGCGGCTGCCTTCAGCATGGGCTTCATCGTTGACGGGAAACTGCATCTGTGGGAGTCGGTCACTATGGTGGCCTTTTATCTCTTCTACGTCGCCTTTGTCGTCGCCTGGCACTGGTGGCTCAATTTGAGGAAGGCGCGACGAGCGAGGGCAGCCGCCATCAGGAGTCATTATGTTACCCCCGGTGGCGAAGAAGAAGAATTTCCAGAGTACCATGACGATGAAATCAGTGCTGGTAGCAGGACCCCGGGCCACGGCGTATCCATCGACGACTTTTCTATGCTCGAACGCGCTGGCGGCGACAATACCATGGACGACGATGACAACGAAGAAGAGCGCGAACGCTGGATGGGCGAGCTGACAAATAACATGCGCGTCAATCGCCCGAACATGTCCCGACGCAACACTCATACCCCCATCCGACCGAGTTTGGTCGGAGCTTTGGAGTTCAGAGCGGTACTCTCCTCCCTGCAAAAGTCGCGCAACATTCAGTCGATGCCAATCAGTTTGCGGCGGTATTCGGACGACCCTACTTATACGACTGCCCAGCAGCAAAACTACATCTCAACAGCAGGCCCAGCGGATCGGCCTCCATTTGATGTGAACCCAACTGCGTCCAATGCATCACTGCATGTGATCCGACCGAATCTCGACATCCAGCAGAGTCTAGGCAACCGAGCGCGAGCCGTTTCCACAAATGACATCGACAATGTCCGCCTACACCCGAGCACGCTGCAGGGACAAGGCGTGCCTGACATTACCTTCATATCCGCCACCCCCAATGAACCAAGCAGAATGCTGGATGCGCCTCCATCGCCGACCATCTCGTTGTCTCCGCCAGCCTCCCGCTCTTCCAGAGCACCAAGTCCTGTCGCACCGAGAGACCGACTTCCTTCCCCTAACAGGCTGGCGCCTCCGGGTCCTGAGGATCAAGCACCCCTCCGTACAATCTCACCATCACTGAGCCCTCGTTCGACTCCGCTAACAGAAAGTGATTCTCGATCCCAGCCCCCTAGTCTGAAGTTGACCGTACCGGATGCCGCTTCTCCTCCAATACCATTCCCTGCCTATACTGATTATCCTTGGTCGGCGCAATCCACTTCTAGACCCCAGAGTCTTCGTCTACCCTCGCCTAGCGCATCACCTGAGTCAAGTTTCTTCCCAAGAGATCCGTTCGGTCATATCGAAGCAGCCAAGATACCAAAATGGTGGCCTTCAGGGATCATACCAACCCCACACGTCCTGATCTCCACCCTATTCCCGACGTTGACCAGTTGGTCAGACAAGAACATATTTGACAAAATCTTGGGCCTCGTCGCAAGTCTACCCGTCTTCTTACTCACCATCACGCTCCCAGTTGTCGAGCCGCAGAAAGATGAGAACGATGGAGGCCACGCAGAGCTTTCTCTAGACTTCGGTCTACCACCCGCAGCCACGCCGCATAGCGGGAGCGGGGACTCCCACACCCGTAGCATATCACTGGTGCTGCCACCGGAAACACCTGCAAACATGGGCTTATCGAAGTCCAAATCGCCAGCGAATCTTTCTTCCCGACAACCTAATGGTGGATCGTTCAGCACGACCACCAGTCAACCACCACCGCAGGTGTATATCACGGATTCAGACACTGTAGCACAGTCACCTGAGCAGCTTCCGACGATCCCTACACCTATCGAGCCAAAACAATGGAACCGCTGGCTCGTAATCGTGCAGGTGTTTACAGCTCCCTTCTTCCTTGTCCTCGTCCTATGGGCGAACATTGAACCCGACAACCCACGTATCTTGCTTCGTCATACGCTCTACGGTTTGGTCGGTTCTCTCAGCGTTCTTGCATTCATCCTCTTCACCACCACGCCGAATCGCCCGCCGAATTGGCGCTCAGCACTTTGCTTTGTTGGGTTTGCCGTCGCCATTGCTTGGATCAGCACTATTGCCAACGAGGTCGTTGGTGTTCTGCGGACCTTGGGTGTTATCCTCAACATGTCCGACGCCATCCTCGGGTTGACTATTTTTGCGGTTGGCAACTCACTTGGTGATCTCGTCGCCGACATAACTGTTGCACGGCTCGGATTCCCCATCATGGCCCTCTCAGCCTGCTTTGGCGGCCCAATGCTGAACATCTTACTCGGCGTAGGGCTGAGCGGATGCTACATGATTATTACCAAGGGCGAGCATCGTCATGAAAAACACCCAGATCAGTCTGTCCACTTCAGGCCCTACCACATCGCCGTAAGCACGACCTTGGTAATATCAGGAGCTACTTTGCTTGCAACACTCGCTGGACTTCTTGTTGCCGTACCAGTGCGCAGGTGGAGAATGGACAAGGCTATTGGATGGGGTTTGGTCGCGTTGTGGTCACTAAGTACCACTGTTAATGTACTGGTAGAAGTGCTGGGTTACAGTAGTAACGTTAGTTAGAGCAACTATATCAGTCTTGTAGTTTCTTTTGTTACACTATACATACTAACAAGTGCGTTACTTAATGCAGCGCTATGTCTACGAATGTAAGGCAATCAAGAGGCAAGAGAAGCTTAGCAACACTTCTGTTTTATAAAAGGCTTTACAGAATATATATATTAAAAATAACTCTTTTATCTTACTTTAATAATAAAAAAGCTCTATCTTTTTAAATTTAGAGCGTTCTTAAGTACGTATTTTTAGCAAAGTCTCTGGAAATGTAAGGCGTAACTGTAGGCAATAGTGCTTGCTTCACGTTACTAAGGATAGTGGGAGATAGCTCGTATATTCAGACTACAGGTGTAGGTTGTAAAGAGAATAATCCTTGCCTCTCTCTGTAGAGCGAGGCGCGCCTTATAAGCAGGTTTAGCGCGTACTCTGTTCCCTCGAGGGACATGTACCTTAAGTCCTCGTTACAAGAAATCTACAAAGTCTAGTAGTGTACAGGTGTTGGAGTGTATGAAGACACTATCACGAGGACGTCGAAGCATCTCTTCTGTGCAGCTAAGGAGGAGAGGGGTGTACAGGTGTTGTACAGCTGTATTTGAGAGCGAAATGGGTGTAGTAGTGCCTAAGTTAGCTACTAGTATACAAGACGAAGTTTAAAAAGCAAAAGATAGCATGAAGTGTGTTGATATTGTTTAAGTGTAACAAGTTGATCGATAGGATAAGGATTCTTCGATGCCCCCAGCAAGTGCACACCCAGCACGAAAGATATACTCCCTTATACTAACTAATCACTCTATGCACCGGCACAGTAGTTTTAGAAAAATTTAGTAGTTCTAGTAGAATTTTAACGTAGTTTTATAGGTGTAGTAGTTTTATAAGTTTAGTAGTTTTATAGTGTGCCAGTGCAATAAGTGCTTAGTTATTGCTGAAGAGTATATCTTTAGTGTTTCGGATGCACTTGTTGTCGACAACGAACCCTTAACAGCTATAACCTACACACTTTATGCAATCTCTGCTTTTTGAACTTTATTCTGTATACTAGCAGCCTACATAGGCACTACTACACTCCTTTAGCTTTTGAATACAACGGTACAACACCTATACATCCTTCTCACCTTGGCTGTGCTAAGGAGATGCATTGGCATCCTCGTGATAGTTGTAACGGGCTAAACGCCCTTTGGATAGCTCCTTGATGGAATCTTGGTCTACTTGTAGAATCCGGGTGCTACCTCGAGCACCCGGATTCTCCTCGGACCGCCTGAACGACGTTCAGACAACAGCCGCAGGACCTAGGGGCTGCCTCGTGCACCTAGACCTTGCCGGCCTGATTGTTACTCGGGTAACCAGCTTATATATAGTTAGCTACGTAGCTTGGGAGTTTAGCTCTCTATTGAATACAACCTCTTGTATACCTCGCGATTGCTCTACGGAGCGCAGCCTCTTACAGGGGGGAAGAATTAAGTTTTATTATTATTTTAGAATATATTAGCGCTGTAGAAACTATAGTAACTAGCTTTAAGACTACAATATCTTAAAAATCGCTTACTTAATCTAAGGAGCGTGCAGAGCGAACGTAAGTATTCCCGCTTTCACTAACAGCTATAGAAAGAAAGACTAAGAAAACATTAAACTAAGCAGAACTTGCAGATTAATCTATCTTTACGCCGTTTCCCCTCCTCAATCATCTAGTAGTAGTAAGGCTTTGCTGGGTCCGTCAAATCGAAGATAACCGCACTGTGAGGCCATGCTCCACCTCTCTCCGGAAACTGGCTTAAGAAGTCAATGCTGCGGTTGAAGCTCAAGCTACCATCTGGCAAAATATCAATCCACTGCGCCTTGAAGTCCGCCGGGGTGTTTACGATGCCGATATCGCCCGTCTGCACAAAGTAATCAGTAACAAGCAGGTTCTTCTTGTCTGGGCTGATCTTGATGTAATGCGGTCCGACGATGTCCTGGTTCTCGTCAGGGTTGTCCAGGCGCTTTACGTTGTTCAAATCACGGATGTCCAGCGCTGCGATATGATTTCCGAGCGTGAGCGTGAAGTATGCGAAGTGGCCGTCGTCGGTGATGTCGGAGTAGATGGCGAGGTTGTTGCGCGCGCGGGGACCAAGATCAAAGAGAAGTTCTGCGACGCCCTGTTTGCCCTGCGCATTCTTGCGGAAGGGGTAGATGATCCAGACCTGTCCTGGTCCGACGGCGGTAGCAAGAGCAGCGGATTCAGGATTGTTGGGGATGAACTTGACGTCCTGGATCCCAGCGCCATTCGGGATGGTAATCGTGGAGATGATCTTGCGCGAGCTGAGTTCCCAGAGGCGAAGCGTATTGGCTTTCTGGATGCCGGTAATGCTCGCGGGCTTGAGGATCGTGACGGGCACGACGAAGTCGGATGTCAAGATGATGTTGTTCTTGAAGTCGATGGACAGGCCATGCGGGCTGAACTGCTCGCCGAGGATGTTGAGGGTCGAGGGAACATCCTCGGGCCACTCGTGGATGATGTTGAACTCGGCATCAGTCTCAATGAGGCGGCCGGGAGAAGTACCGACGGCGGAGCCCATGTAGGTGATGAGAAAGCCGCCATCAGGTTTGGCTCGAATCTCATCGGTGATGGAGGAGAGTAGAGCACGGTTTGACTTCTTAAACTTGGGCTGGTATGGGTTCGTGGTGTCGAAGTAGTATGCCGTGTCCTACGGGGTATAAGTGCGTGATTACACTGGGGGTTGGACATACTTACTTGAGTCTTTAGCAGCGACAAAAGACCGCCACCGACGAGCGTCTTGCCATCGATGGACGGGCCCAAGTGATGCGGCGAGTTGCCAGAGGACGGTACGTCTGTGATAGCAATCAGAGTGCCAAATGTCTCATCGTCGAGCGAGTACGTAGCAAGGAAGTCCTTGTGCTTGTTGTCACCTGCCGCAGTCCAGAAGTATCCGATCTTCTTGGGACGGATCTGGGAGTTCACCGAGTGAGGTGGGCTCTCCAAAGGCGGAGTCGGAACTTGGAGAATGGGCAGAGGTGGAGCGTTCTCGGAAAGAGGCTCAGTGACACCAGGGATACTGGGGATCAGGGGTGGTAGCGAGATGGCACTTGCTGTGCTCGCAAGCAGCGAACCTAAAAGGGCACGAGAGAGCATGTTTTAGAGAGTATTGGTTGAGAGGATGAAGGCTGTGGAGCTGTTGAGAGATTTAGAGCAAGTTGTGAGCTGATTCCTTTGTCACGGCTACAATGACCATATTTATACTTCACTGATGTCTCTTTCGTGCACAATTCTTTTGCTCATCGCCATGCTGCCATCCCGCTACGGTCCTATCCTCATCTCTCATCTCGCCTGCGTAGATGGCACCATCCAGCCCGGCCCTGACGACGAACCTCGAATGCATCTCCAACTCACTATCTGATCGTCAGGAGAGCATACACTTTGGGTGTGGAAGCTGAGAAAGAGCACGTAGATCGTCGCTATAGGAACCATGTGAGCACGGCAGAGATAGTTGCCGTGACTAGAGAGTTGCCTGATCTGTGCTTCATATCACAGGAGCAGAATTCTATTCAGTTTTCTTTTCACTCGATGCACAGTGTTCACCAATCCTGGACGACACTACGGCCGAGAAGAAGAGGACGAGCAGGGGTTGACAAGAAGCTTCAAGATCGTCCTCGGCCCTCGACGCTTCTTGAAGCTATGCACAGGTTAACGCTCTTAGATGTTACGTTCAGAGAATTCCACTGTCCGCGGACTAGGCTAGGACAGCAAGAAGTCGACCCAGAAGAGGTACACAAACATAAAAAAAGACTGGTGTGATTCCTCAATGCACAGAAGTTGGCAATGATTCAGCATATGCATATTGACCTTCCGCAAAGATTGTATGTCTCAGCCGTCTTACACATCCTCATCAAACAATATGTATGGGTTTGGAGTACCCAGCCAAATCTCACATGAAGTCGGAGCTTCTCCCGCGGAGGACAGGGCTGACTACAACGCCAAGCCCTCTCCGCAATTCGGCGCACGAATGGTACCATTGACGCGAGCCCATTGCGGGGCAGATCTACAACATCTATACCACCACGCCAAGGATAGCGACATATCGTCCAATATTTGCGCACATTGAAGATTTGGAAAGGCTGAACCTTGTCGAGTAACGGTAAGACTTAGCACCTTACCGGTAAGTCTACCTCTTGGGGTCTCTTGGCTGCAGCGGGACGGGCTGCACTGCACGACCTACTCCAATGCGATGCGCAAACAAGGACCGAATGATCGCCCTCGCGCAATTCCTGTCCAGCAGTCGCGACATAGCTGCTTTATGGGCGAAAGTGGCTTGCATGTACGATGTGCATATCGGGATCGATGTTGGTTTGACCCAAGGAGCCGGCGTGCGGAACATATATGAGCCTCAATCTCGCAGCCTTGAGTTTCCGAGATACGCTTCGCAACTGACTTCTTGACCAACGATGAAGTTCCAGTGCCTCGCTGCCAGCGTTCTATTCGCGTCTTCTACTCTGGGCGCAGTCATCAAGCGCGAACAGTTCAGTAAAGGCCAGCCCATTGACGACAAGGGCAAAGGCGCTCCAATCTTAGGTGCGCGGAACTTTTTGTATAGATGAGCAAATCTAACAACTGATAGGAGGGACTGATCGCCAAATCGATCTCGACAACCCATCAAACTTGGGCGAACAAAGCACCGACTCGGGCACAGTGCCCAACCTCAAATGGCGCTTCGGCGACTCCAAAACGCGAATCTTTCCAGGTGGATGGGTGCGTGAGCAAGTTGACAACGACTTACCTGCAAGTCACGACATTGCCGCTGCGCAACAGCATCTTAAAAAGGGTGCGATTCGCGAGTTGCACTGGCATCGCGTGGTATGTGTCGCAATTTAATTGAGAGGTGCTATGCTGATGGTATTGTAGGCAGAATGGGGCCAGGTCCTCTTCGGTCGCGTCCTTGTCTCCGCCGTTGATGAAAATGGTCGACACCAAGTAACCGAACTTGGATTTGGCGACATCTGGTATTTCCCCAAGGGGCAGGCGCACACAGTGCAAGGCTTGGACGACGAGAACGAATATCTTCTCGCATTTGATGATGCAGATTTTGACAGAGCTGGGTAACTTTTACCTCCCCCCATCTCTGAAACGTCGCTGATAAAGTACGCAGCACAACGTTCAGTCTGGCAGACTGGCTCGTCAAAACCCCGCGCGCACTCCTTGCCAAGTCTTTCGGCCTCCCCGAATCCGTCTTCGCTTCTCTCCCGTCTCCCAACCCGTATATCCAGAACGGCACCACCACAAAATACGCCAACGTGACCGGCGGCAACGGAGAACTCACTGGCGACGCGTCGTACGTGTACCGCACATTCCAACACGCGCCCGAGCCTGCGCCCGGCGGCGGCGGCCAGTGGTGGAAGATCGACAGCACGAACTTCCCGATTGCGAAGACGATTGCGTCGACGTATGTCACTATCGAGCCGAAGGGCGTGAGGGAGTTGCACTGGCATCCGACCGTAAGTTTTCAATGGAATCATGTGAGAGGGGCATAGAGCTGACTTTCCGTCCTCCAGAGCGAAGAGTGGCTGTACTTCCACTCAGGCACTGCGCGCGCCACCGTCTTCACCGGAAACAGCAACGCGCGCACGTTCGACTTCAAAGCTGGTGACACGGCCGTTTTTCCTGATAACGCCGGTAATCACCACTACGTTAACTTTTACTCCTCAAACTGATACTAACGCATCTCGCGTAGGCCATTATATTGAAAACACGTCCGCGACGCAGAATCTTACGTTCATCGAGATCTACAAATCCGACCGCGTGGCGGATGTCTCGCTCACGCAGTGGCTTGCGCTCACCCCGGCGGATATTGTGGCGAGTGTGATCAAGATTCCGGTGGACGTGGTGTTGGAGTTGAAGAAGGAGAAACAGGTTATTGTGCATGGGTCGAAGTGAGAAGAATTAGATGGTGCGGGAAAGTATGCAGTAATGGTAATATTGGCTCTCGCAATGGTCACAGTAAGGTTATCCGTTCGCTGAGTCGCTGCATGTGTGGCTTTGTGAGTTAGGCGATCATAACAATTCTAACCTCTAGACACGCATGATTCGCGCATGGAAGCAGTTTAGTGTTCTAAAACATCTGGTGAGCTCATCTCTAAATGTCTGCTGGCAAGTAATATCAGTGCGTCTATCAACCAAGTAAACTAAAACACGATCCTCTTACTTGACTTGGCTGACAAGAATCCTTTACCTTGCTTGATTCGTTGACGACAAGCCCTTGCTTTGCTTAGTTTGTTGACATTGCTCGATAGGATTTCCTGATTTGATATCTATACTAACCTACAAGAGCATACTGTACGGGTTGTAGAGTGTATGAAGACACTATCACGAGGATGTCAATGCATCTCCTTAGCACAGCCAAGGGGAGAAGGATGTACAGGAGTTGTACAGTTGCATTTAAAAGCTAAAGAAGTGTAGTAGTGCCTGTGTAGGCCGCTAGTATACAAGATAAAGTCTAAAAAGCAAGAATCGCATGCAGTGTGTTAATAATAGCTGTTAAGAGTTAGCTGTTAACAGCAAGTGCATCCGAAACACCAAGGATATACTCCTCGGCAATAAATAAGCACTTATTGCACCAGCACACTATAACAAAGAAAGATATAAACTTCTTTATAATAGTATTTAAATGCGCTTTAATAGTTTATATAAAGTATAGTACTATATAATAAATAAGATACTAAAACAAAAACCACTATACTTTATAAAACGTTAACGTTAACTATTTCTAAACTACTAGACTTTAGGTAAACTACTAGACTTTAGACAAACTACTAGACTTTAGATAAACTAAATACTAAAAAACAAACTACTAGACTTTGGATAAACTACTAGACTGTAGACAAACTACTAGACTTTAGATAAACTACTAGACTTTGTAGTAAGTACTACGCTCTTTGAATTTAGTAAGAGTTGAAATAATTTTTTAAAAA